TCTTAAACAACCTCCAATTCTCCCCGAACCTAATTATTGGCCCATTTGTTTATTTTTTCTTTTAATTATCTTATTGTATCCTGTAATCCGGTTACACAAGTAAAGTTAGTAAAGAACACATTTCTATTGTCTGCTAAGAAACTGTTGGGATTTAAAATGGGCCTGTTGTACAAATAACTTGTAAATGATTATTCCTCACTTTTGTCTTAACCAAAGAAATTCCAGTAATTGAGCAAAAACATTTATTTTTAACACTACATTTTATAAAACAGGGCGCAAAGTGTCGGCACATGTATGTATGTATGTCGATGGTCCGCCCCAACCGAACCAGGAGACACAGATGTCAGGGAGGCCAAGGTTGTCTCTGCAGCTCTCTGGGCACCACGCCTCACTCAGCTGTCTCCAATGATCCAAATGGCTATGGAGGAAAAATAACAGGTTTGTCATAATTGTTTAAAGTACAAAACCATACATGAAGTGGTGAGACAGGTATGTGGAATTTACACTTGCTGCTTTGTGTAGCTGATGTTGGAGACACACAGGCTGCCATGGTGACCTTTTAACAGATCTAAGAAAAAAATGAAAATTAAAAACTCCAAGACCTCATGTCATATTTACTAATCAGCTATGGCTGATTTATTGTTTGGATCACAGTGAGTTACACTAATTCTAATATATTTTTATTTCTATTATACATACATACTTTTTAACTGTTATTTTCACATGACTGTTATCAGGCTCTCTTGTTCTGGTTCTCATGATAATTCCGTTCTTCCAGTAAGTTATCTTGTGCTTACTTCATCTGTAGAATGTCTCTTTACTTTTGGTAAATTGTACTGAGTCCAGAATAAAGACTAGTTGGCTGTACAAGATACAAACAAGTATTACATTTTGGAAATATATGAAATGTATTTAGGCTGCTAATTTAGCTCGAATACTAATAACTGCCATATTTTCCGGACTATAACTCGCACTTTTTTACATATTCTGGCTGGTCCTGCTACTTATACTCCAGAGCGACTTATATAACAAAATATGTAGGCTACACCGCGCTGCTGCGGGCCGACTCCGACCCACACAAGAATGAGTTCCCCTGTCCCGCTGGGAGGGTTTCAAACACCGCCAGCATCTGTTAGAGCCTGTGGCGGGGTGCTGAGGGCCGGCTCCAGCCCAGGAATGAGCTCTCCTCGCCGGCCGGGAGGGGTGGAAACACCGCCATCCTCTCCTCTGCTGGCTGTTGTTCATTCTGTTATGGTTACCGGTGCTTGTGTTGCAATGTGAAACGCTTGGTCTCAGATTTTGTAAGAAAGATAATAAAATGTCCCCCCAAAATACGACTTAAATATATGTTCTCTTCTTCATGATACATTTAATGGCTGGTGCGACTCAGGAGTGATAGCGCCGAAAAAAACTACTGAAAACTTGCTCAAAGCAAAATGTTTTCATTACGGAAATAAATTATAAACTTACCGATTTAAAACTTTTTTAATACTGGTACTTCTCACGAACAGGCGCAGAAAACCTCCACCTAAACTCCGTGTAAGGTTCAGGTCGATGGGTGTTCCAGTTAGCTCCGGTTGGGTTGAAGCTAGGTGGCTACATCCGTTAGCTCGGCTCCCACCTCCGCTTTAGCTTTGGGTTAGCCAGGGTTAGCTTCAGGTTAGCTCGTAGCTAGTTCGCCAGGGTGTCGTCACTCGAGCCCAGCCTTACAGCCACACCCTCAGCGCCTCCTCTCTTCCCTTTTATGGAATTGTCTGGGCTGGACGGAACCTGTGACACGGTCAAAATGGCGGTGGTGGCCACCTCCCATTATAGACAACAAACGTGTTATTGAAGCCAATGGAATCCGTTTGTCCAGTATATGTACAGTCTATGGTTTTCACCTTCACCTGTGTGTGAACTGTGAACAAACATGGCTTCGCCGCGGCTGAGCGACAGCGAGGTTTTCGTTCCGAAGAGGAACGCAGGGTTTCCTTAGCGCGCAGCGCTAACAACTTAGTGACGTGACATGTCTCGGAGAAAGCGTAAAAACACGTTGGACGCTTCTTCTGAAGCAGGAAAATAACACCGCTTCTTAAGCAGAGCACGACGTCGCCTCGGCTCGTTCACCCTCTGCCGAGCCGGTGTCGGTACCGACTGAGCTCGGTCGATGGAGCTGCCCCGTGACTGCCTGATGGAAAACCAGCGGGTTTCATCAGACGCGTAAAGTTTCTTGTTTTTGTTAGGGACCCCTGTATTTTACCGCTCCCTCCTGCAGTCTTCCCCTATTAACATTTAAAATGATTCTGTAAACTCCGTGTATCAATAGAAACAATCTCTGCCAGCTGCAGTAAATGTAGTCTCCAAATAATAAGAGGTGCATTCACCTGTGTACCTCCTTTGATCCACATTAGTGATATTTTCAGCACCAGAACAGGGAAGCAAAGAAAGATTCCTGAGTTTGTTAGTAATTTTATTTATTAGGTGCATCTAACCTGTTCTATTTTTCTCTGAAATGAGATCAAATCAGTGCTTCTATGGGTTGTCTCCAATCTGCACTGGAAATTTTTACTTTATTTAGAGACTTGTTGCAGAAAATATTCAGAATGCGCAGTTTTTTGCTACCACAAGCGATCTCTGGTCCAGCCGCACATCAGAGCCGTATTTGAGCTTAACTATCCACTACATGAGCAACTGGGAGCTACATAGTATTTTGAACAAGTTAATGTTTGCACAATACGTTTGCAATTGACATGTTTGCACTTTAAATATGTTACGATTTTAGTTTATGTTAAGTTACTAGAAAAACGAGAAAAACTGATTTTTGTAATTGTTTCTCTCAGAGCTTTTATCATCTCTGGTGTGAGTTTAAAATATAAGTGTGTTAGCACTGTGCTGATTATCCCTAATATGAATAAATGTTTATTTATTCAATGTTTCTCTTCTTTAATACGCAATTGAAGTTATGCTATTCATGGATAAAAAAATCGTGATAAAATCGAAATCGTGATAAAATATTGGAAAAATCGTGATATTCTATTTTTGCCATATCGCCCAGCCCTAAGTGTGTGTGTGCGTGTGCATGTGTGTGTGGCGAATTAAACTTGTCATTTGTTTTAAGGACAAAGGAGCAAAGAAGCGTTTTTATTAAGCTTAGAGGTGAAGAGTGAAGCTGTTTACACACAACCACAGAAGTTCTTCTGTGAAAAGTAGTTTTACATTCAGGGATTTACACAGCTGACACATTTTAATGAAGTAAAATGTGTTTGTGTGAAGAATATAATTTTTATCTTCTCATGTGGATAAATGTAAAAATGTGTTTATTGCCTTTTTGTCACCTGTGGTCTCTGATTTTCTCTGTAGGACTGCAGGTGTCCAGGGTCAGGAGAGGCTTTACCTGGTTGTCATCCTGGGAGAGAGGCCTTCTACTGTCATCATGTTAATGTTATTTAGCTGTTTGATATTTGAACACATTTATTAAAACAAATACTAACTGATAACTCTTTCTGGTCATTTATTTTATCACCAGTTTTATTATTACAGATGTTTTTGAACATGTTACATGAACAGAAAATGAAAAGATGGTAAGGAGACAAGATTATTTACAATACGTTACACTTATTTACAGATCAAAACCAGTATGGACCAGTTATGTACGGTTAAAGCAGGATTAACCTGAGTGACTCTTCCTGGATCATTTATTTAAACTGAGTGAGCAGGAAGTCTTTAACAGAGCAGCTGGATCTGCTGCAGGAGGATCCAGACGTGGATGGAGGGCTGGAGCAGACCCGTGGCTGGACGTTTCTGGTCAGAGGAACATAATACAGGACGGTCTGCAGAGAGCTTTGGGACGCTTCCTCTCACTGTCCACTCCATCGTCCATCTACAGGGACCGCTGGGCTGGCTCAGACGACGGCTGTTACGTCTCTGTGAATGACTTGCCTGTTAACAGTAGTGGTGGTCTGCTGGTACCTCCTCCAGGACAGAGCACCACTGACCTCCTCCACTCACATCTTCCTCAGGCTCATCCTCCAGACCCACAACTTCACCAGCACAGAGGCAGATGTGCAGCACAGTGCATGCTGACCTGTAATAGATTAAATAAGAGTTTGTTTTTTTATATAAAAATGTAAAACAAACATATAACCTGCAGTACACTGGTTCTGTTCAGTTTTAAAGAAAAGCAGCAGGGAATAGTTAAATTAAAAACTACAGAGAATTTACATTTTTAAGACAGATCTAATCATTATTAGGCTTAAGTTGAATAAACAAATGCACATTGAAAACATGCTATTTTATTAAAAAGCCTGTTTTTTAAAACGTTTCACCCTCATTTGATGCAAAATAAGTTCTAAGGTCCAATTTACATTAGAAAACATCCTACTGCATTCAACATTTATAAAGCATTTGGTTTATATTAATTACCTACATGATAATATTCTGTAGTAATGTGTTGTGTGTGTTTAACAAGTTCATTCTGCAGCTTAAAACTTACATGAAACCATCTAAAGTTAACATGTAAGTCCTGAAAGCTTCTAGAGTAAACAAAGTTACTTTACCTGAAAACGGTTGTGAACAAACGCTGCTGATGGACGTGAAGCTGCTGTAGCTCCTTAATATTCCTGCTCCATTTTCGCTAGCTTTAGCATTTTTCCTTTGCGTGTAGCTGCCGCCACGGCTGTGACGGGACCTACGGGTCACCGTAGAGGTGAAGGCTAGACTGTCCGAATTCAGAGCCGCTGGGTTCCGGTCTTAGCGGTCTGGCAATGACCCGGCCTTGCTAGACCGGCGAGGACCCGTACTCGTAAGCATCCTGCCTGTGGATTCGCACACACCCGCTGACTGCTCTTTCACATAACCACGTTCGGCAGATCAACTTTTGCTTCAAAAGGCCAACGGATCCATCATCCAATCAGTGATGCCTGTTGTTGCAGCATTGGTACCTACCTTTTCCAGTTTATTTTTTGTTTTTGTGGTTTTCAATTTGGTTTTGCGTTTAGTGATTTGTTTTTGCGCTTTTCAATTTGTTGTGCGTTTAGTGATTTGTGTTTGTGGTTTGCACTTCAGGGCCACCGTAGCCATCAGAGACAGTTATACAATTCTATTTTAATCTGACATGGTTGTGCAAAGGCATGGTTGAAAGAATAATTTATGTTTAAGAAAAATATGGTTCATTTCAGTCAGCAGAGGGCAACGTTCTTATTAATATGTTTGTGTGTTAAGGCGCATTAAAACAAAGAGAACCATTTTCATCCAGAATTAAAAGTTTTACTGTAGGATTTAACCTTTCTTAACCCCTCTGAGTTTATACGACCAATGAGGTATGAAGGTTTCTGTTTTTTATGCTGTTTTCTGACGTTTTATGCTGATAACATGTTAAATGGAAATGATAATTAGTATTGATAAACATTATTGTTTTGCAATAGTATGTTATGAAGCCAGTTTTTGGAGTTAATAAGAACTTTTATGTTCCTTAATGTTTGTTTATTCTTCATAAGAATGTATTTATATTATGAAACTGATTGTTTTTTGTGTTAATTTGTACAGTTCTCACGGCATGGTTGATCGCACAAACGTGTCATTAAGGCCAGTTGACAAAGAACGCCTTGTGTCCATGATTCAACATGGAGGGAAATACAAAAGATATTTTTTTTTTTGCTTGTCTAAAATAAAAAAATATTTATTTTGTTTTGTCACATTTTGTAGAGTAGCCAAAGTTTAATGAAAGTAAAATATGGTATGACATTTAACAAAATGGTCTGAGTCAAAGAATAAAACCAAATCAACAAATTTTGCATATTTACAAAAAAGTCTTACATCATTAAAATATGTTTGCTCAATTAAACACAAAATGTAGAAAATTATTTAATATAGTTATCTGTCAAAATTTACAAGATGAGAAACACAATAAGAATAAGCAAAAAAATAAATAAAATCTTGCTTAAGAAACATTAAACACTTTAATTTGAAAGGATGCAAAAAATTGTGAAAATATTGCTAAAATGTAATACTGTCAAAATCTTTGAAATGAAAATAAAATGAGGTTGGTTTTATGTTTAATACTCACACCGCACCTCTAGAGAAGCCTCGAGTCGCTTCCTTTTACAAAAATGAAATTTTCTTTAAACGGTTTGCATCTCCAACTGTGTTGGAAGAAATAAAAAGTTTTTTAACAAAGAATCTAAACTGCAAACCTGAGGAAGTTCAACAGCATTTCTAGGATGAAATTAACAAGCAGCTGATTTGTAGGAGATTTCTTAAAGAGCAAATTGCAGGTTAGAGACTCCCATGAACCATTGTTTAGGGAAACATAATAGAAACTCGGTTTAAACATTTTTTTAGACATACATAAATTATTTAGGCTTTATGGGTTACTTTTGTGAGAGAGGTATTTTTTTTGGCCAAACCAAGTGATGTCATGTGAGGGAGTCCTGTTAGCACAGAGAAAACTTTAGATGTTTACAGTTATACTCATGATGGACTAAAACCATAAAGTTATGAGTTTGCTGCTCGCCCCAGAGGGCAGAGACACATCTGTGATCTGGTTCTGGAGCTCATGCGGGCTTCTGTGAGCTGGATCATACCCAGAATCCAGCTCGACTGGCCTGCTGAGCCGCACGTCTCTTCTGGTGGTCGGTTCTGACCTGGTTCTGACGGTGATCTGAGTTCCAGAAATCGCATTGGTTTTTTTAAACCCCGCCTCGGGTCTCCGGAGCCCTGCGCGGACCTCCCTGTCCCGGTACCGACCGATGTGGGCTACAGAAGTCCGTCTTTTCAGGTGCAGAAACGCAAACTCAGGCACGGAGATAGAGGCGTTGTTTCTCTTGTCTGGAAACCCGTGGACTCGATGTCCAGACAGGCTGGAGATGGTACAGCCTTCACACACTAGTTTATCAACATGAACACAACCCAACACTAGTAAACACACACACTGACTGGATCACATGACCTCTCTACCCTAAAGCTACCCACTCTCCACACCGAGCTGAGGCAGCACCGAGCGTCTAACTCCCTTTGGTTACGTCAGAGGTTCACATTTAGAAACAAGCTGCTGAGAAAGGCCCGGTTCTACTAGAAAACTCTGCTGTTATGTATTTTAAAACCAAATATCCACAATAAGCTTTTTAAATAGTATTTTTGGACAGCATTTTATATGAATTAGAAAGAAATTTGAACCTGCAATTTGCTCTTTAAAAATAAACTCTAAACATTTAACTATACAGAAATATATGTAATGTTACAGCAGTGAAACATGCAGATAAGTCATCCCGTCTTCCTACGGAAAGCGATTTTCACATTCATTCATCCTGTTTTAGCATTATGATGGGCTGCAGAGCAAAATGAACTGTTATTATATGGATTATGTTGATGATTTACTCATGAATTATCAATATGCATGAAGAGGATGACGTACCAAAGAGTTGAAATGATCCCTGCATACAGCTTTACTCAGCCAGAAGATTAAGAACAGAGCTATGATGCTTTCACCAACCAGGAGAAATAGCATTAGCCCTGTTAGTCCATCGTTTAACTAAAGAGAAAAGGAAAACTCAGAGTTCACAACAACAACAAATAAAGTCTGCTGTGCAATTTTAAAACTGAGCTTTTTCCTCAATAAAGGGTGATGTTTTGTAAAATACCGGGATATGCTGGACAGAACGGAACCATATCAAGTGGAGCGAAAACGCCACGAGGGACCAGAAGAAGCTGATGATGTTCAGAGAGAATGACAGCTTAGTCTGAGAAGTGGAGCCAACAAACAAGCTTCAGTTAGACTGTGGCAGCAGAGCATGCATCAGAGTGCTGCTTGGCCAAACCATCATCACCTCTAAATACAGAACAACCACATCATTACAAATAATCCATCACAGTCAATCAATGAAATAAAGAAACTTAAACCTGTAAAAATGCACAAACATCACTTACCACATGCATGTTTGGATGTCTTCCTGCAGCGTAGGACAGCATGCCACAGAGGACAAACTGATAAAACCAGAACACCTCATTTATTTTCAATGATTCTGGGTATTTTTAAATAACACAAATACTTATTTTAAAGCAGATTTTACCAATACACTCGGAACAGTGTAGCTCTTGCTGACAGGGCTGTCGCTAATCAAGCCCAGAGCGAGGAGAAACACACCAGCCATGGCTTGAGCTGCCTGATATGGAGGAAACAGCACCATGAACTGGAGCAGGAGTTACAGAAACCAGCTGTCATCTAGCACTAATATGAGTTTATTTCACAGCTTATTTAGAAATTCATCTTTGCTCTTTATGTCTGCAGAGATACATTTCTACTCACTCCGAGAGGTTTTGGCTTCCCTCTGATGGCAAAAATCTTGAAGTTGTCTTTGAACACACAGTTGAAGTTCTCCGGCATCAACTGACCCTCACCAGCATTCCTCAGACTCCCGATGTGAATGGTAATGATGATTGATTCATCACAAACAAAAGTTTTCCTCATGTTTACCTGTGGAGAATAGTTGGAACCAGCTCAGCGGATGTGATGAGAGATCAGTCAGCTGTGGAGAGTTTTCAGCTTCACCAGTTTTAAATGTGGTCCTTTCTTTGCTTGAATTAAGTTTGCTATGTTGTCTGATTAGTTCATCAAGGAAAGGACCTCGCTCGCTCATTGTGCTATGGCGCTGACTCTCCTCCGCCCACCCTCTCACCATCAACGCTAACCACTTCTCATCTCTGCATGCAAACATTACTGGACACAAAAAAATCCATTTAAATGGATTTTATTTAAATAAAAACATCTGTTGCAATATATAATTTTAGTTAAAAAAGACATAAAAAACAGAACAGATGCAAAAAAAAAATCTTTGATGAGTGACTTTAATAAACTTGCAGAGAACTTTGAGGCAGTTCCAGCGTGTGATGACCTCAAGTGAAAGTGCCTTTAGGGAAGTGGAATGCACGTCTGAAGAGTGAGGGTTCGGTTTGAGGCCGACAGTGAAAAGGACGCCGCTGAAGCCAGACAAGGTAAGAATCCGGGCTAAAACATTCAAATGAACTAGAAACGTTTTTGTGAACAACAGAGTTCAGCACATGTGTTTTGATGTTATTTATGTAAAGGCAAACATTTTTTCATTTAGCTTACATGAAGAAGGCAAACGTTCAGGTTTAAATCACCGTTTTCCTGCTGCATGTGTGTTTTGTTCGTTTTTGCACAAACTTGTTCTCATTTTGCTGCATGAAAGTGTAAACTTCCTTATTGTAAACAAATACTTTAAAACCTAAACCTTCACTTTAGTTGTTTTCATTGCATGGTCACTTCTCTTTTGAATGCACAGAAACCCTTCATGTACAATGTTAACCATATAAGGGAGGAGACTGAAGGTTCCTCAGATAACTGTGAAAGTCATTCATTCTTAATCATCTCACAGTTCCAGAAGCAGCTAAATAAAATTCCAATTTTCAAGAATGAAAGTGTCTTTGTGCATTTTAAGGTGCTTTGTTGCATGCTAAATCTGCAATGGAGAAGAAGCTAACTTAAATTATCATTTGAATTTAGAAGAACCATGGCCTCTGCTGATGCTGATATGAGGATCCACGAGGAAGAAGAGTCTCTGAGACCCGGACGGAGACAACCACCACCTTCACCGTGTCTGATTCAGTACTACCAGGCTACAGAGGTGATGCCAGAGGAAAAAGTGCTGCTGCATGACCTGATGCAGAAGCAGCCGGCAGTGTTGGGGGTGAGAAAATTAAAGGTTTTACAAAGTTCAGTCTCCACAAAAATCAAGGTCTCCAAAACACATTGCCAAGAGCAATTGGAGCTTTTTGGCATCAAATGTTTAAATCTAAGCTTGTTCTAAAAGTTTCTCATTCAAGCTGTTTACAAGCCATTTAAGCATCAAATTAAATGGAAAGGAAGCCTTTTACTCAGTGTTGGCTGATATTTTATGCTGACTCATTTAAAAACGCACAAATTGAGCTCTTGAAAATCACTTAGTGGAAGTAGTCCATCCTAAGATGTGCCAGGCAGATTAGGAGTAGAAAAGGCTAAAAGGAGCGCAACGCTGTGTGAAGAAGTTCTGGGCTGCAGCGGGAGGAAGTGCTCTGTTTTAGACATCGTCTCTCCTCCTGCAAGTGCAGAGGCTGCAGCGTTAATCTGAGACATCACAGGAACTTTTCATTTATATATATAAATTACTTTTTTACTGCATGACAATATGTGTTCTGTGAGATTTACAGTAAAAATGCAAAGATTTTACACAAAATAAATCTATGAAATAAATATTTTTAACTCAGGGTAAATAATAAATTTAAAATATGTAAAAAATACTACATATTTACTACATTTTTCTGACTGAGTCACAAGTCTTAAATATTAAGAAAAATATTCCTTTCAATTAACCAGTTTTTGTATTTTGAGTTATTTAGTAATTAATGCCAAACCAATATTCTTATTAAAAAGAATACATTCACACCATACATCCCATCTCATTAAATGTTTTAGTACATAGATTAAATATTTAAAACAAACCTCGCCTGATAGACAGGTTTATCATTTTTTTGCATAGTCGAAAAAATGGTAAACTATATTTTTACACACACACACACACACACACACACACACACACACATACACACACACACACACACACACACACACACACACGCGCACACACACACGCATGCATATCTCTCATCTCATCCTTCCCAGCTCAGGT